AAAAAAAAAAAAAAAAAAAAAAAAAAAAAAAAACCGGATTCGACCAAACAATTAATTAATCCATTAAATTGTTTTCCGATAGGGGTAAAACAGTACATTAATAAAGAGAGTCGAAAATAGTAAATAAATAAAAAAAAATTGCAAATGCAAATTATTTATGGATTGTCGGTGGTAGGAAGACGGGCCACCGGCGGTCCCTGGTTCGGCTGCCGTATCCACGGTGGCGGGCCCCACCAAGTTAAAACACCCAATCTCTCTGGGTCCTACTCGTGGTCCCCACTTATTCGGCCGACACCTTGGAAGTTATATATATATATATATATTTTATTAAATTCTTACTTTTAATATATTATTGCAAGTTTTATGGCTGTTCTTTTCCCTCCTTTTCTTTTTCAAAATTTAATTAAAAAATTCCAACATCTTTTAAAATTATGCCAATTTTGCAATTTAAATTTATGGCTTTTTGGAATATGCCATTTTGCTTAATTATTTAGGGCAAGTTTTTGTTTATTTTACTTTATTTGTCGGGTTATAATTTGATTTATTATTAAAAATTTTGTATGTTCTTTTATTGATTATTTTGCATTATTGGGTTATTTACTTGATTTATTCTCCCAATTTTGTGCAATTATTGATTCCCAAATTTGAATTTTCATATTTATATTTTTGGGTAAGTTATATTGTTTTCTCGATTTTCGAGTCTATTTATTTGGGTGAAAATTACACATATAGAAACTTCCCTTTTTAATCGTGTCCCATGGTTTTAATAAAGTTTTATCACAAAAAAAAAAAAAATCATCTTAATTCTATTTAATTCTTAAATGTAACGTCTTTTAAATTTTGAATTTTTTCATTTGTAATATTAGTTAATTTAGATTAAAATTAGAGCCCATAAAAAATACCTAAAATATATTTTTCATTAATTTTTATAATTATTTAAAATAAATAAAAATACCGCTAAGACCTTAAATCATTAATTTGAATATAGTGTTAATTAATAAAAGGGATTTTGTTCAACTCTACAAGTCAAAATAAAAAATGTGGCAAATTTTTATATAACCCACTTTAGTGTCTTTATTTTCTTGTCTTTTCCATAAAGTAATTGAATTTGATGGGAAAATAATAAATAAATAAATAAAAATATATATATATATATATATATATATTTCGTGGAAATTAATGAATAATGTTTTTGTAACTGACGCATGCTTCAACTAATTAATTGACTGCTGATTACATTGTTGGAAATTAGTCATTAATATAATATTTCTATTTGTCTAAATTTAAATCATAAAATTTCAACCAATTTTAAATTTAGCACTTTAAAATTAATTTTATCATATAAGAAGTATAATTTTAATTAATTATAAATAAAAATTATGCAAATTATTAATTTAAAAAATATTTATAATTGAAACAGGTAAATCTAACCCCTCCACGTAACAAAAAAGAACTTCTAATCGGTTTCAAATAATCAGATCGATTTTAAAATTATAAATAAACTATAAATTGAATAGTTACGATTAAATGACATCACCTTATACTATAAAATCGCTTCTCGGTCTTTAATTAATGTTGAATTATGCTCAATTTAGGGTCGATATTTATATAATTAAACTATTAATCATATTTTAGGATGAATTTATTGGTTTTAATAGTTAAAAATATTGTAGCCCAATAAGAAAGTTATGAATTTAAGAGATTTGAAGTCCCTCGGCCCAATCCAAATTAAATCCATCAATTTAAGCCCAAATTCGGAAATAATATTAATTAACAAAACTAAATTTTTAAAAATTTAGAGGTGCTTTTGTAAATAGTAGCTTATTTAAGGGTGAAAATGTAATTACATATACATTTTATTTGAATTATACTAAACCGTAAGGAGTATTTTGCAATAATTAGAAGAGTAGAAAAATCGATGGTCTCCGTTCTTGTGGTGAGCTTAGCCGTCGTTCTCCACGTCCGAACTCTCTGCATCTGTAAAATTTCTTCATTTCTTCACCTCCGGAAATCGCAATAATGGCGTCCGATATGAACAATAGCGAAGCAGATCATTTGGTGGAGCTTATCGTCCGGGATGAGTCTCCGTCAATCCCCGACGTGGTTTCGATCTTGGAGGAGGATGCTCCTCTGTTGACCCAAATTGAAAAGCCCAAGATCAACATCTTCACCATCTCTTATCCTCGAAGGAAACCTTTGGTATAACTCACTTTGCTCACTTATTTTTTCGTTGTTTTAATCTGCTGTTCCTCTGTTGTTGCCTATTTTAGTTGCGGAGATGTGGAATCTCGATGTGTTTGCATTATGATTCTTCTATTTTTATCGTCTGCGTATATTGTATTGTTTTAGTTTATTTTCTTTGTTCCTTGGATCATATATGATAGTAAGTTAGAGATTCGGAATAGTGCTGGGTTCCTCTGAATGCAAGGAGATTGGATTTAGGTATCAAAGTTTAGCTGTTATTTTCTATTAATAACTTCGGTGTATAGAGTTCTGAGCATGCTAAATTTGCTCTAGTTTGGTACATAATCGTTTAAAGGTTTCTAAGAACTCATGCACCCCGCTTCAGTGGTTGCTTGATATGTCTTGGAACAAGTCATTGTTAATCGAAGTTTTTTCTCTAAAAAGGCCCCTCAAGTCGATTTGGTCACTTTTCCCCTCGCTCTTTTTTGTCATTTAATGGTTGTATTTATTGGCAGTAATGAAATAACTCAAGCTGTTTAAATTGATTAAACATTATGTCAATTATTGTTTTATATGCATTTTCAGGATCAGGTGAAGAAAATCCATGATAGCGAGGTATCTTCATTAACCCAATCAATTATTTGGATTTGGGGTGGA